ATAAGTTTAATACAACTAAAAGAACATAATTTTTTCATACATATCAACAACGAATAGACGTAAATAAGTGACATAAATAGAAAGTTGTTTATCCCCAAATAGATAACTTTTGAACTTACGTTAACTAAGATATTTTATCTGAAAACTTTGTAATTGTTAAAATATCTGCTTTTGGTACAATGCGCAAGTAACGATTAAAAATAATTTCCTATGAAAGACTGTGCGTCGAAGAGATAGTTATCACTGTAATACTGCATACAAGTGCATTGTACGCGTATAAAACGAGCCTTGCAATGTAACAGCAATTATCAACAAAGTCCAACAACACGGAGAAACTCTACCAATGTTTGTAGCAATGTTTTCAGAGGATACGAACAATTTTCCTTATAATAGAAAGGAAATTCTTTATCCTGTATTCGTTAGCGCTAGTTTTTACGAGAGTTACGCGAAGATTATTAAAACAGATTGTGGTGAAAAAAGGAGCAACGCTCAGGAAGTGCGAGTTTATGATCGGTCGTGTGCGTGCGATACACACCAGTTCGAAATACGGGCACATCCTGTGTTCACACCAGCTACGAGAAGCGTTCGCTTTACCTGCCCTCGGTCGAACGTAACCTGGAGGCTGTAAATACATCAACTGTTATCGTCGAACGTCAACGAGATGCATGTTTTCCACATATCTGTTGTAGCAAATTCCATGTTTCATATCAAATGATGAAAAATTTCCCAGATGAGCGTTAATTGCTCAGTGCATCGCGACAAAGTCTGCTCGACTTCGTTGTGAGAATCGAATGTAATTCTTGAAATACTTGAAGTTGAAATCGGATTATAGTTGTAGGATCAGAGATAATAGAATTATGTAGAAACAGGATAACAAATTTATTAAACACTTTAACTTTATAAAACAAATCAAATTCATTAATATAGTTCGTCAAAATGTCCGTGTTTTCTGTACCGTCCGTCTCTATTGCTAGAAAAACACTACTAAAAATACGATCGGCATTGACATAATCTATTCTCTTCTCTCTCGCACTCACAACCAAATTATTCTCTCTCAGTCTCTCTCACAGATGCAACAAACTACCTCTTGTTATAAACAACTCTACTCTTCACGGCGACAATGAACAGAAAACGATACGACGTTCGTAATGAATAAAAAACGACCAATATCACATATATATAAAATTACCCTACATAGTGTTATTAACAGTTTCGTTAAACTGTTAATTGTTCCGAATGATCAAGAAATTTTGTGTCATATCTGTAACTTGTGGCTACTGAATAAAATGTCAGAATGAATTATATGAACAATTTAAAAATTAGTGAATAAATGTAAGTCACTTTTATAAATAGGCAACGAGACAGTTACTGGAGTTTCTGACGTATAAAATGTACGTAATAAATAATTTAATTATAACTAACAATATATGTGTAATTCTACAATATAGATCTAATTATACAATATGGATAATCCATTGAGACACCTAACAATTTTTTTTTACAAAATTCATAAGAAATATAATATATTTTTCAGTGCATCCTCAACTTAACTACATAATGTAGGTATCGATTATCATGACTACCAGTGTAATGGACTTGCAGTAAATATTTACAGTTTTCAATCTGTAATGGAAACGATCTTCTTCTATTTACACATCCTTTAATGAGAAAGCGTGTTCAAAATTCTAAATTAAACAGAGATCGTCGAAATTAAATTGCCAATTATCTCGTACTAACTATTTACCATTTTTGTCAGGCTTAAAAACAGAATTGACAGGCTTGATCATCACTGCGTAATTTGAGGAAAGAAGGTCAGAGAACTATCGATACCTTACCACAGAGCAGATATCAGTTCGACGAAAGAGCTGACCACGAAGTTGTGGTAAATCGGAGGGTGAACTAAAGCCAGACAATGCAGGCGAGATATTTACGCATTCGCAATTCTCCGGAAAGGGAGATGCGAGGAGCAACATGATTGAACTCACTGGAACAACCGTAAGCACGAAAGTACACGTGAAGACCTTAAAAAACTTCTTAACTACAACCTATCACGCCATTTTTAACTCCTTTTTCTGAGAGTATTTATGCACTAAATACGGTAAAATAAGAAGTTCACTGGAATTCAATAATGTTTTCAAACTATTAAATGCAATCTATATTGTTGTAAATCAGTATATGCTAATATGAATTTGCATGAACGTTCACTTACTACTTTTAATGTGCAATCAAAGCATAATAAAAAACACTAAGTGCACTTCGAAACTGCATAATATACTATTCTAATGTAACAGATGAATGGAATAGTTTAATTTTAATTTTTGTAATTCTTTGGTAAGAAAAACAATTTTTTAGATGTTTTTTCTGCTTAACTAAAATAGCATATTTACACGTTAACAGGGCAAACCGCGACCGTAACGAACGTTTTGTTCGTAATTAAAGTCGTTTTGATCCCAGCGTGGTAAGTAATGTGAATGACAGAAATTCCTGTGAATCGAGTTGCACACGCCTAAATACAGGGTTAAGTTCCAATCTAGCACGCAACCGGAAACGCGAGCGCCTCGACCAACAATGCTTTCGGAAAAAAGAGAGCGCAACAATGGAATAACAATAACGGCAGACGGGTGCGTGCGATATATGTAGACTCACGCGAGGGAAGCTTTAATCGGTATTTCCTTGTCGTTGGTTCCTATGGTACCAATTTCCCTAAAAACATATCATCATGTTTCTGTAAACTTTCGTCTTCCTTCTAATACAATCTTCGATTCTATTTGAAAAAATTCTTTTTCAACTGCCCTTTGAAGACCGATTATTTTCCTAAAGTCCAATTGTTTCACGAATTTTAGAACAGTGGGTATGTCTCCATGAGAATTATAATGTCTCGTTTTATATTTATTAAAACGGAATGACAGAATAAATTACTTCAATGAGATGAATCCACAGGAATACCTGCACTACATGTTCGTATTGTTTGACAGCCGTTAGAAATAACCAAACATACCCTTAAAAAATCTAAATATTTGTTAAAATGAGTATAACATGAATATTTAAATTTGGTACTCTGAAAAGATTGACTGTTTGGCTCTGAGGACTCGTTAAAACTAATGTAAATAGTAAGGGTGCAATAGTTGGGAATAATAGGAGAGAGTAACTGCAAACATTGCAGAGACATAGTTTTGTGTATACAAAATAATATTCCTTGTTCTATTTTTTTCAAAAATCAAGAAACCAATCATTTTCATTTTTACAGAAGGCATTCATTTTAATCTTGTCCCATCAACACACACAGTACACGCCATTAACGCGTTCAACTGCACAACCGCAACAATTTCTCTCGAGGTTCAGTGGCTTTCAATTAACGAGATTTTAATCGAACCCGATAAAACACGATTCCCGGGATCGGTTCAGAAATTTCTTCCTGCATCATTGACGTAAACAGGGCGGGGTACACGTGTTCACTTTCATCCGTCAGCAGCAACCACGACTGCAGATTTTATGCAATTTGCCAGCGGTCCTCGAAGAAACATGCTTCTTTTATGTGATCCGGCAACAAAGGTCCCCGCCACACAAAGAGTACACGCGACGTGAAAGCACCGTGAAAACGGATTGAGCGTTTCACGGCGTTGCGTGAACGGTTAAGCTTTCCGTACCGTGTGCATTCAACGGAAAATTAATCTGTACGTGTCCCCGCCGAACACCATTTTGCAACCTTCTTTTACCCACCAAAACTTAACACGTCCCCGAACGTTAAAAGACAGTGAAAACGAAGTCGAGGATGAAGGTTCGGTATTATAGAAATGGAGTATTCATGTAAAAGTGTCCATTACTTATTTTAGGTCTGCATATCTTTGTAATTTAAATGGAAAATCGGATTTCGATCGTGTTATGTTTATTCAGAATTTCGCGGTGAATTTAAATGACCGAATGTCAAAACAAAAAATGGAAATAGTGAAGGATCCACGAATCCAAATGCGCGTAAACAACTCAACTGTGACTTTGTACCGTTACGAACAGAAATTATCATTCTGTATGGCTATAAATATTATCGAAGTGATGCCTCAAACTGGTTTTAGGTATTTGGTGCGGGACACAAAACATAGCCGTGGTCCAGCACAGCTGCACGATCAACCGGTTTCTCTGATTACAAGCGACACGGTCTGTACATTGAGCACATGATTCTTGCCGTTTGCATTTGGACTTAGATATAGCCCGACTGGCAAGAATTATTTGAGCTCCTGTACATACAGTACATAGTCAGCGAGTACATTGTAAACACAGAATACGTGTTGGTTCATTAACCGAAATTATTGAAAGACTATAAATGTCTTTAGATTTCTCTAGTTGATTAACGGTTTTTTAATGTTTACATTAATATTCTAGACTATGTACCCTCATCTGCAAACTCGGCTTCCGCTAGGAGGAAAAGGTGGAGCAGAAGAAAAGTCTCCTACCACTTAATAAATTTATTTGAAGTACTGAAATGAATGGTAAACCAAATGTTAATTTGGCATAAATTTCAGTAACTCCTAAAACTAAGTATATAACATTTTTTCCCCTAGCGGAAACCGAGTTTGCACGGCAGTGTATATGTTTAAGTTTTAAATAAAAAAGAAATCTCATAAAACTGTAAATGTAATGTTTAATACTATTAAGTACGGTATCATAATTTGCGAGCTGGAATTGATAGTGTTGAAACGGTGTTATTCCGATTACTACTTGTGCCTTATACACCTGGTCTGTGACAATATCAATGACGTAAAAAACGTTTTAGAATGTCAACGTAACCGCGAGGGGCGCCACCACCTAATGACACGGTTTTTAAATAGAATGGGATTGGAGTGTGAATGCGTCATTGATGATACCATAAATGCACGTGTGTAAGACTACGGGTGTCGATGTGTAGTGTATCTCATTGTAGTGAAACCAAGTGAAACGTGATCAGCTGTCTGTCGGTCACAACTACGTGTATATTATAAGCGATTCTTGTCGCTTAAAACCGTTCAGCACGTCTATCTATTTATTTATACATTGCAAATAAATTTTTTTGCAGTAAGGTTTAGTTCGTAATTGATTCATTTCACTATGGTAAGTTAAGATTTAACTTTTTTGAAGAAGAGGTTATGTTAGGGTGGATCTCTGGTTCCAAATAAGGAATGCCAAATATTACTGAAAATCTAAAATAGTATCAGAAGTATTTACAAGTAACTAAGTGTTAGTAACAGAAGGATTAACATAAATATTCCATTTAATTTTTAGCATTACAAACTTGTCTAACCTAAATTTTGTTAATATAGCAAGATCCAAATGAGGACACAGAATGGAATGATATTCTTAGAAAAAAGGGAATAATCCCTGAGAAAGAAAAGGAAGTTACGGAAGATCAAATATTGGATATTGTGGAAAATACTGTAAATGAAAAAACTGGGCGGGGTACTTCAAAATTTATTTCTATCATTTTATATTATTATATTTCATATGGATTTCTAATAACTATGTATTTCTTTTTTTAGCACCTACTGATTTAGAAGATAAGACGTTGGACGAATTAGATGAATTAGAAGATGAAGAAGATGAAAAGGTACTATTGGAATATCGTCGTAAGAGAATAGCAGAATTGAAGGAGTTAGCTGATAAATCCAAATATGGAGAAATTAAGGACATATCAGCAGAAGATTATGTTAAGGAAGTGAATAATGCTGGAGATGATATTTGGGTGGTTCTTCATTTATATAAAAATGGGTACGATAATTTATTTAATAAATACAAAAATTTGATAAAACACTCTTATATTATCCTAATTATTCTTTTTAGCATACCACTTTGTACCCTTATAAATCAGTACTTATACAAACTCGCCAATAAATTTCCTACAACAAAATTTTTAAAAAGCATTTCAACTACTTGCATTCCGAACTGGCCAGATGTTAATCTACCTACAATTTTTATCTACCATAATGGAAGTATGGTGAAACAAATCATTGGACCAATGGAATTTAGAGGCATGAAACTGACAGAAGCAGGTAAATATAATTATGAATTAGAAAAAATATTTTAAACAGGTAATCTTGTAGTTTTGTAAATAAAGTTGTTAATATAAATGGGCATATTGTCATAGAATTGGAATGGATGTTGGGTCAAGCAGGAGCTGTACCAACAAAAATTACTGAAGATCCAAAGCCAAAAGTCAGAGATGTATTATTTTCTACACTAAGGCCTCAAAATGACGATGTATCTGATGATAATGATTGGTAATTGTATGTATGTTAGGTCACTACACAAACCAACCCGACATTTAAATATTGTAAAGCACAGAACATTTATTTATTTTATCACTGTTATCAGATATACATCATCTTTTGTTACTTTGAAATTTTATTACACCTCATAATCATTCTACCACAATAAAGTATTTTATTATCATATTACCAGTATTCACTTTATAATTTCTACCACATCATTCACACCTTATATATTGTACATACTAACATGTTGATATAAAAATTTGTAAATTTCGATGTCAGTATACACATTTAGGTTACATGTACACATACCATGAATACTTGTCATGACTCAAAAACGTGTTTCATTTGTTAAAAGCAAAATTAAAATTGTAATTCGACTTACGAATACGCGAAGAATGCACAGTACTTTCCATCCTACTTTTTTCTACACTGAATTGAATGTGAAGTGGGTCCTTCAAAATGTTGTCACAGATTTGATTCTAGCATCTCTGACAGTTCTAATTAAACGATTTAAGAATTACTTCATTACAAATGGATGAGTATTACATATTGTTAAAAAAATATTGAATGTCAACAAGTCTTTTACGTGTATTTTCGGCTGTGAGATTCGTCCGTTGTTTCTAAAAGATGTTTACATTAGCATCTTTCAAGGACTTCTCAGGTTTCTTCTTTATCTAAAACATAACCCACGTCTTCCCTGAGGTTTAACAGGCTAGTTTAAGTTAGTTTACTTTGGACTGTTGATTAAGACGGTACGTGATGTCACTCGGTGATTGTAAAGTTACATTTAAAAATTTGTATATTCACACGAACAATGCTTTAAAAACGTAAAAAGATATGTATCATCCGCTCTCGTATTTTCACACAGTTTAGATATAATATTTCTATCGGTTTACTGTAATAATTGGTGCACAAGTTTAAGAGACACAGAAGGCACATGCGATTTCCATTCAAAGTATCGTCGTCGGCTTCGACAGAAAAGTTAGGTAAGCTTTAGATGCAAAAACTGATTCGTCAAAATCGCAGCAATGCAGTAGAATTTAATTTCTAAAAACACAATACCAAATTAGTGTTTACAAATTCTTTAATATCCTTTTTGTATTCCAAATAATTTGTGATTTATATAAGATGTCTTTGTTTTTGTTTACGTGACGAAATTTTTAAAGTAATTCTAATGATAAATATAAAAAGATGAAACCATATTTCTTTTTAAATAATTCTTTTTTATCTTATATATTGTAGCCCTAATGAGTGGTACGAAATTAAAAAAAGTGTACTTTTAATTAAATAAAATTCGTGGAAAAATAATTATAACACTTACGGAAAAGATAAAAATGTCCGAGAAAGAGGGTGGGTTCATTATTGTTGATAATAATGGTAATTCATTGAATTTGGAACATGAAAATTTGGAAAATGTTTGTACAAACACAGTTATGTTGCCTGGAGAAGAAAATAAAATGAAATGTTTTGAGGAACTTAATAAGAATAAGAAAAAGAGGAAACTTTGGAAAACAAATAATGGTGAAAGCAATTCAATTTACAATGAAGTTCCTAAAGAACAATTTAGTGCGTATACTAAAGTATCTACTCGTAGAGTTCCTAATATCTTAAAAAATAATATGAAACTACACACAGCTACTAAAACAGCTCCAAATGAAACGAACTCAGGCTTTAATCATATAAACTCTCCTTCTAAAAGAAATTGTATTAAAAGAGAGGGCGAAAGATCATCTCACAGACGAAAACAAGAACACAGTTTTATGGATGTATGGCAGGAAGTACCTAAATGCATTGTTAATTCCATAATTGATAAAAAAGAAAAGTCAGGAACTTCTATGAAAAGAAAGAATCCAAGAAGACAGAATAAGAAAAATGATATGGCTATAGAAAAAAATGTGAAGAAAGAAAAATCATTGTTTCCAAAATCACATGATATATCTACAGAATTCATCCCTGAGTTCGATGTTTCCTCTTTGCAAGAGACTGAACCGAAAAATTTACAAGATTCAATTGATTTCTCAAGCAATGAAATATTCAGTAAATTTAATTATGAACTTTGTGGTGTTAACAACATGAGTGACTTTACAGACTACACAACGGACTTAAATGAAACCTGTAACTCATCCATTACAATCTATGATAGCAGTATATATGAAAAGAAACTTGATGTAAATGACAATGAAATAGATATATGTAAGACATTCCAGAGCTCCTTAATGAATATTAAACATAATGAGGAAGATGTATCAACAGCTCAATATTCAACAACCTCAGAGTATTGGGCCAACTACTTATCACAACTTAATGATGAAAATCCAAACTGTTCATCGGATCTTTGTTGTGGTTATTGCCTCGAAGACTATACTTTTCATAGAGTAGTAAGCAGTGGAGCAAACACCAGTACCACCATGAAAAATAAAGTTTTATCAGAAACTATTGATGGGAATTCAGTTACTAAAAATAATGACATAAATTATCAAAATAACTGTGATTGTTCGAGTTCATATATTACAAAAGCTGATGTGTGTTCAACTGCTGCTACTTTAACAGAAGAGTACAGTGCTAATAGTTCATATTTGCTCACAATTGATTCCAAAGTTTGTCCACAAAATGTATTAGAAAATACTGAGTCATCCTTCACAGAATCAATCATTTCTTCTAATGAAGAAGATACTAAAAAAGAGATATTTAAGGAGCCAATTGCAGTTAAAGAAAAAGAATATAATACATCCAATGAACTCAGTAGTGACCCTTTTTTTGAGTCTCGTGTAGATTCTGTTTTTCAAAAGTCTGAAGATAGTATGGAATTCCAGTATCATACAGATGCATTACAAACTCAGATGTTTGCCGAAGATAACACAATTGGTGAAGAGTAAGTAACTCATGTGTTATACAATCACGTGTCACAATATTTATATTTTCATTTCCAAATCAAATATATTAAACAGAAAGTTTAAGAAATTAATGATTTAGTAAATAAATTTATTAAGAAATTAGTAATACAACATTATGTAGAATTTCTTTATACAGATCGCATCAGATCAGACAGCAATAAGTAATGCACTATTTTCTTACTCAGATGCCAGTACAATTTAAATTCACTTCATCTTCCTACCTCTGTACTTAACAAAAATGGCATAAGATATTCAAGAATAATAACATAATATGTAAGAAAATCATATGATTCCCTTGAAAACAAATGTTGAATATAGGACAAAAAAAATAGTAACTGAAAAAAGTACAACTAAAAGTTACATTGTTCAATAACTAAATTTTATTTCATTGGGTGTTCAATACTTTTTTAAGTATGTTTTGAGCTATCCCTACCCATTGTTGTACTACGTAAAGTATGAAACATGCTTGTAGATTCCAGTGTTTGCTATGTCCTCTAACATTTTCTTCAACACGTACAATGGCGATACACCAGGCTGGAGCACACGGAGGTAATGTAAAATTTGTTTCGTAGCAAAACTCGTACCCCCACGAGCAAACTCGGCTTCCGCTACGGGAAAAAGTGGCGGAAGAAAAGGACTTTCTACCACTTGGAAAAATTTATTTTAAGTCTGTAATAAATCTTAAATCGTAAGAACGTGGTAGGAGGCCCATTCCCTACGCCACTTTTTTTCCTAGCGGAAGCCGAGTTTGCACGTCAGTGTACAACTTATTACCGAATATTTTTTCAGGTACGTACATAATACTTTGCGAAAGCTGCGGTAGGCTTTTCAATCGAAAATATCATTTCAATAGGCATTTTATTCATTGCGGTCGCTTAAAAGAGCCTTACAGATGTGACATGTGCATGAAAAAATATAGGTAAAAAGAGAGGAGAGAGGACGGCTGCCCTGCAGCATCTTCGATCCTCAAAAATTTCGATAACGTGTCAACACCACTGACGGGTCTTTGGTTTTTCAGACACAAATCATCCTTAGTTCATCACTTAAAGCTCACTCACCACGTTCATTACGCTCGCAATCATTCGACAACATTCACATGTAGCATATGTAAGAAAATCTATAGTAAGTTCGGCGCTTTTGAGAATCATATGAAACGACATAAAAACAAATGGTAAGTCAGGATTCTACGTTAAATAATTCCTCTTTATTAAATTTTGTTTGTTTTTTCTTTTTTTTTTTTTAGAATAACTTATAGCGTAAACTTTTTGTTTGTTTGTGGAATTCTTGCGCGGGATTATAGCAATAAAAAATACTAAACAAAGGTACTATCATCAAAGAATTATAAAGTATAAGTATTTTCGATTTATGTTACTATATTCGTTTCTGATGTTACTGGGATATGTTATTTTGATATCATTTTATGTGTAGCAATATTCTAGTGATATTATTTGTACAACTCTTCACTCATGAATTTAGAAGAGCAGTTGTTTATAGAATACGACGATTCCTTTGATGGACTTACACATTTAATTTTTGACGGTACTTACATTGATGTTTATTTATTTTTATATATTTTATTTTTGATTACATTATATTTGTTATTAAGTTATAATTAGATGTTCCTATATGTTTTTTAACAAACATTGACAAATACACAGTATTAATAAATCATAGGTGAAGACTTCGTTAAGTTATTAAATATAGTAAGATTTGAGAAATATAATAAATATATTTTTGTATCTAAGTAAGGGCATTTTGATTGAATAATTCGTCAGTGACGTAAAACTCCCGGTTGTGTAGTTGCAGAGACTTTTTAGTATTTTTACAATAAGTTACATAAACAGTGTTGATTTGACAAGAATGTAAAACTCAATGTTGTTGTTTTCTAGTAAATGTACATATGCAATTGCATATGAAATAATAAGTTAATTCATTAACTTTATTTGGATCGTAGCTACAACACAAATATGTTTGTTAATTTAATATGTCAAATTTGGTTTATATTTATATATTCCGATAATTAAATATAACTAGACTAATTTGAATGCAAAATCAGAGTACATGCAATAATTACAAAATAATTTACGTCTTTCTACATGTAATTATACAACCTATATCTGTACTTATAAAATCAAGGATATAATAAATATCGATAAAAATAAATATAAAGTTCCCTCTAACTTCATTGCTTTTGTAGTATATAAGGAAATTTAATAACGTTCTCTTAAAAACAATTAAAGTGCTATCTTTTCTCGTACCATAAACTTTAATTATTAAATAAAAACGTTAAAGTGGTTCTTCATGAATAATATATAATTTTCTGGTCACATTTTATCACTTTGAGTAAGTTAAATAAAAATGCTTTAAAATATTCAAGAGAATCCTATATAAGTTTCGAAAAATACTTTATTACGGGTTTGAGCAAAAAAATTCGATAAATTTGATCGCACGATGTCTAACATGCATAGTATCATAATCTTTCTACTTTATTTTGGTATATAATGGGCTCCTTCAGTCATTTATTATAGTCTGCAAAAATCTTCTCAAGTTATTCTACATTTTGATGCATTGAACTTTATGTTCAGGTAAACGCATAGAGAACATAGGTTGTCCCATTATCGAGTTGTAATCTAATTGTGTTACAAAGAAAAATGAAATGAAACCAAGTATTACGCAAATGCTTGCGGACCATTTCAGAGCAGTGGACATTAGTCGTGTGGCCACAAAGTGACTAGTTTCATGCTCCATTAGTTTAACCCGACACCGTACACGAATCTGTGTTCATAATTTTGGCCTACAAGTGTCCATTTCCTTGTCTGACTAAAAGTGACGTTTAATTTAAACCTCTTACTTTTTGTTAATTGTTATTATGGTAGTGTTACATTATACTTATTCATGAGGGGTGCGAAGAGTTACGCCCTCGAGAGACTCGAGTAATTGACCTCCTAATCATCGAGGAAATTGCTGTTATTACACGTACATCAGGGAATTTAACAAATTACTTATTTCTAATTTCTTAGTACGTTTCTGATATCGAACAGAAAATTACGTGTAATTAATATATCACCTGAGTTAAAAGTTACCGTATTAATACGAATTTTTAAATAAGATAACGTAGTAATGGTAGTAGCGTATAAGAATATGTGACAAACTTAGATGTTAAAACTGGAAATTTATTTTTGACAATTCTGTATGTCAATAAATTCGATATTTCTGCTGTGCATAATAGTTTTCGTACTCTATATTTCCCCGGTGACCTATTCCTGAAATTGGAAACCGATTTTGTATGTTTGGTAATATACGGTAGGCGTTACTTTAAATAACAATAGATGAGTGATGGCTAAGAGATCTTTCGAGAACTACCACAGACTACAGTGAAGATCCATCGAAAGGAATAGAATAAAAATCAAAGGCAGTCGCAGGTTTTCTCACGATTCTAGTCACGGTGTCGTCTCGCGAAATATTGTCGATTCGTCGCTATTTACACGTTGGCTTTCGCTCGTAAATCGTAAAAAGATTCTATCCCATGTACCTTAGAATTTACTGACGATCGCACTGTGGTGGTGCCAATAGATAAAATACAATCCCGTCGTTTACAATGATGTACGATGAAAGGAGACAATTGTAAAAATTGCGCGCTCCGGCGGATTAAAATGATTTATCCAGTGCTTATTGCTGTTTTCGTAGTTTTATCGTGGAGTTTTACCATAAAAAATTATAAAACATAATTCATTTTGTTAGCCGAAATATATCTATTCAAATAATACGTATTACAACGCCGGAATTGATAATTACATATATAAATATTGCGATTAAATACTTTACCCCTTAATACTTCTTTTGGGACAGTAATTTCGAGTTTTAAAGTAAAGCAAATAATATTTATTTGTTTATTCAATAGTTTTTTTTTAATTTGATACAGAATAGTACGAACATCTTTATCAATGGTGGATATCTTGGCGACTAAGTGGGATGTAGTGTGTAAGAAATCCTTTTACGATTATGACATGGCAAAATATTATACGTATAAGCCCTACAGTGTTTGTACACACATATTACGTTTACAATGTAATTTTATCAATGATTGAAATAATTTGAATTTTTATTAAATTTTGTTTTACTGTAATAATATTTATCTATTCTCAACCCTTATTCCTTACCTGACCTGTATAACGTCTGTGACATACGTCTATAAGACTTCTTGAAGCCATCTTTAAACCGTGTGTAACATATCTTTAATATGTCTATAAGCCATATCTAACACGTCTATTAAAAATCTATAAGACAGCCTTAAATGTCTACAAGATGTCTGTAACACATCTGCATTACCTACAAAGACGCCTCCTGAAACAGCTCCAACCTGTATTTAAGATGGCTAGTTAGACCGTTTTAAGCCACCAGACGTTTTCAAGACGACATGAACGTCTGAATACAGACATTTTTAAGACAGTCACAAGACATACGTGCGCTATCTGGGGAATCTTAAATATTTATACAAACATTCACAAGGATTCCCGGTTTCATCTTTTTTGTTTATATTACGTCTAACAACAGCAACCCCATTGCCCCTATTTTCCTGTTTACCAATAATAACTGAGACCCTTCGAAAGAGGGTCAGAACATCCGACGATTCCATCAAAATTAAATAACAAGAAGTTTCCAAGGAACTTGTTCGGTAAAAATCAACAAAGAACGGAAACATTCTCATACATTTCTACCATTTCCGTTTACTAAACATCCCCAAGTGCCTCGAATTTGACGATAACACCCTCTACACCCAATTCCCATGATACACGAAACAATAATACCATAATATGGTAAAGTATAACAATATTATTCGAGACACAACTTCGCCGAATTCAACACTAAAACTACCGAAGATGATTGTATTTCTATTTCTGTCACGTTAGTAAAAGGGTACAGGTCGTCGAAAATATGCAAATCGATAAATTAACGAACTTCTTCACGTATCTAGGGTCGGCCAACCATAATTGACTGCATACCAGTGAACGACCATTAGGCAAAGAAATTGTAAATTATGAATTAAAAGTTATTAACTGTTTATAAATGGAGTGTAGTTGCACTTTTAATATCCCAAATTTTTAGTTTAGCGCACTAAATAAACAATAATAAGTACAATTCTTATTACAAATAATTATTTTTCAAATTACGATAAGAATAAGTGACTTTTCATACAAATTTCAAGAAAAATAAATATAATTGCAATTTCGACAGTTGTTTCGTTGTTATAAATAAATACATTCAAGTATTAATCTGAAACGTTCAGAAATTCAACAATTCGGTCATTCACTGGTTGGTTTACCTCGTTCCAAATAGAAGTTACAAAGAATATTAGAAAATACACTATAATAACATACTTTCTATAAAATTTTACGAACTAATCATGACTTGTTCCAGCGTTAAAGAAACGAACATCCCCCAATCACCAAGCCCAGGGTGGTCCGGTCAAAAGCCGGCGGCGACGACGGCGGGCAAGCTCGAATATTAGTGTAGTGACGTTTCATCGTTAGCGGATCGTTCGCGAAAGCGCAGCGATCCCCCTCCTCCCCTTCCAGACGATATACGGTGGCCCCGTGGAGAGTGGTGAATGGTGGATGGTGGGTGCGTGTGTGCCATGGTCCGTAGCCCCGTTTAACGAAAAGGGATGGAACGCGGTGGCGCCGCGCACGGTCAAAATACGAACGAAAGCGTTGCGCCGGAACCGCGCAGATCGTCCTCAGTAGTTGCCCAGACGCTGTCACGGGCGTAGCTGGATGCTGGATTGTCTCTCTCTCTCGTGCGCGCGTGTGCCGCAGGGAGGTGTTTCCTTTTCTTCTTCCTCTTCCTTCCTAACCTCCTCGTCCCCCCTATGGTCGCCTCCTTCATCGTCGCGCGGTACGGACGTGGACGAGTCGGGTTCATCATCCCGTGGTCGCGGATATCGTGAGGTTCCGTTCGGTCTTCGTCTCTGCCCACAAATACGCGAGACTAAGAAGAAAGGGTGCCGGAGAAAAGGGAGGCCGAGTATACACGGGTTTCCTGCCGGTCGGGGATAGAGCGAGAGAGAGAGAGAGAGAGAGAGAGAGAGAGAGAGAGAGAGAGAG